CAATTGTGAATGGAAGTTCATTCATGATTTGGCTCTCTGTTTGTCTGTTACTGGTGTATAAGAATGCTTGTGATTTTTGCACATTAATTTTGTATCCTATGGTGGCTCCTCTTTGAAAGGATAATGAATCCACTTATAGAAACATTTGGGCCAATTTATACACAATTGAAATATTCACACTAATCATTAAGTGAGAGCATGGTGTTTGTAAGAAAAGTGTTTTCAACAGCACGTGATAGCATATCCATTTTTGTTTTAACAGAAAATGCCCCCATCCCATTTTATAAAAAATATCCATGAATTGCATAATTAACAAAGACTGATTCATCACTTTTTTCGTGTATCTAGTTTAAAAATTTCTCAGAATCCTGTATCTTCCTCTGGTGAATTCCCTAAGTTAATTCAGCCAGATAGGTATCTTGGTCTCTTCAAAAAGATTTTGTTAAATCTATCTTCTCTATATCTAGTATTAATTTTTAAATATAAATTAAATGTTATTAATTGATAAAAATTTATATTAAACTTTAAATTTGTATAACCTATTCTTACAATGTGCTCATATCAATCAATACCTCTTTCTATACATGGATACGGTTGTGAAACTTACATTTTATATTTATTTTTTTTAAAGGTTAGAGAAAGAGGGACCAATTAACTTCATCTTTTCCTAAACTTGAGAAGAGACAAACCAAGTCCTGCCCTTCATCTCCAATGTTTGGAAGATCAGAGGTTCCTGTCAATTAAGTCGTCCTTTCTTCATAACTATTGCAAAAGAAATCATCAGAAATCGCTGAATAGGTCAATTAAAACCATTTTTATCAAACATATTCATTCACAACATGTATTGTTATAGTTAAAAACTGGTTGAGAAAGTTTACTTGTAATTATTATGCACTTTGATATCTGTTGATTATTTCTGGAGCAAAGGCAGCCTTATTCATTAGGTGCCTTTAGCTAATTTTTCCTGCTATTCTTGCTGGATACTTTAGAAATGAGAAGGGGTGAGCTGTAAGATAAATGAGTGTGACTAAGGGAAATAGAAGCCTGACTTTATCAAGGGCTGAGCTCCGGGAGGCAGGAAGAGTTCAGAGCATTGGGCCAGGGCTCATCTGGTGGGTTCAAGCACATAGCCTCAACTCCCTTGCAGGAACATGGGTCCGTGTGTGGTTCACTCTGAAGCATCTGTCTTCCTGTGAAAGAGCTCGGGAGTGGTGAATGGATACCGCGCCCAACTTCTGCAGGCTGCCCTCCCCTCTGGATACCAAGCCCACCCATGGCAATCCCTTCAAGGCATGACTCTCATGATAATAAGAAGTGTGATAATGTGAAAAGGAATTTTCAGAGAAACTGAGTCAAGGACTGGTGGTGGTGAAACTTCTTGCTTTCTTGGAAAGCAAGAGAAGGTGCTATGCCTTCTGCTCTCTGACATTTCCACCGTCCCCCACCCATCTAGCAATGGCTACCCTAGAAAAACCTGTTTCCTACCCTTTGGTGTGGGCTGAGTATAGAAAGAGGAGGCTTCTCTCCAGAACTTTGCCAGGAGTTTGGCAAAGTTGGTTTGGCCTTTGCCACACCATCCTCAATCCACCCTGCTTACACTGCCCCTGAGAAAGTCTAGTTCTCACCTGGCAGTGTCACTTCCTCCTTTGCTGTGTTCCAAGATGTAGCCTTCATTTGTGGACTAGGAAGGGGTGGAAAGGCCCAGTTGCAGGGCGATTATTATTATTGTCAACTCTCCCTTGAAGAAGTTGTATCCGTTTTACTTTCTCACATGCACTCCTGCCTGGGCTGCAGGAATCCTAGAAATTTTGCTCTCCGCTATAGTAACTCCCATGAGTTCTGATCCCACACTTTTCCTTCAAATGCTAACTGGAGGCAGACTTTTAGATGGAGAAACCAGAGACAAGAGAATCAGCAGGAGTCCAGGTGATAATCAGGAACCCGGGACCCTGATCCTGACTGCTCTGACCAGGCTGCTCATTTCACCGGTGGGGAGCTGGAACCTGAAACCTGCTCATTCTAAAAAACAACCCCAGTCTTCTCTCAACTTCTGGCTGTGCCCATGTCCTCTGAGGAAGGCCGTGGAATGCCTTCTGACATGCTCTCAGAGGGAGAGCTGAGGATCTGAAGCCAGCAACTCACCAGGGAGATGGTGGAGCTGGGGGCTTGGGCACGGCAGAAGCGTTTGCGCAAAGCTTCTTGTACCTGTGGGAGAGGTAAATGCTCCACTTATGCCAGCCACAGCCCCGGCCTGTGGGCTGCAAGTGAGGCAGGGGGTTAGGTGGGCAGACTCACCTTCTTGTCCATGAGGCAACCAAACAATAGGATGAAGACACCCTGAGAAGAGGGACATGGGGATAAGCTGGTCAAGGAGGAAGGGATCTACCCGAATCAACGTGCTCCTTCTGTCCTGTGTAATTCACATGCAAAGGCTTCTCGTCTCAATTTTTGTTACCACCATTTGGTGCCTAGGATCTATTTCAGATGCTTTTCTTATTGTTATCGTTATAAAAGGGATAGTAAAGGATTGGGTACTGATAATTTCCTGAGTTCTCCAACAAAATCAGCTATTATTTTACAGATAAGAAAACCAAAGCTCAGAGAGGTTATATAATTTGTCTGAAGTTATCCAGCTACTCAGTGGAGGAACTGGGATCCACTCCTAAGCCTTCCAAAATTCCTGAACCTATGTTTCTTCTGCTACGCCTTGATACCTCCTAGAGAAGAGATTGGCAGTGACTTAGACCATCTAAAAGGGCAAAAAGCACAGCCACCCCCTATCACCTACCTGGAGGGTGTTGAGAATGGTGAAGATGTAATGAGGGACCACGGAGACTTCCTCTAACAGAGTGGCCAGGCCTAGCCCCCAGGTGAGGCCAAAGATGGGTGTGAGAATGAGCAGGGCTTTGATCACCCCCAGCAGAGCTTGGCGCTTCTCCGCTGGGGGTCCCTCTGACAGCGAAGGTCTCAGCAACTTCAGCATGGCCATGGCTAGTACCAGCCCATTCACACCTACAATAGCCAGCACTGGCCCCACGAAGGTGTACAACGCCCCTCCCTTCCCATCCAACCAGCATTCCCCCTCCCTCAGGTATTGCCCTTGAGGTAGGTAGAGCCCCAGGGTGACACCCGCCAACCCCAGTGGGCACAGGTAGCCCAGAAGCACCATCAGGGGGAGAACTCGGTGCTTCGGCAGCTGGTGAAAGACAAAGAGCAGCTGGTGGGCCAACACCAGGGCCTGCGCCAGCATCCAGAAAAAGGTGGCCAGGTAGAGGAAATGACAGAGGAAGGTGGCAGCCAGGCAGAGCGGGCTTCGGGGCCCTGGAGGGAGGAAGGGGGCGCCTAGGAAGCAAGTGTCTGCGGCCAGCAAGCAGAGCACCATGTTGAGCAGGGCGGCGTGGCGGAAATAGGAGACCTTATTCCGCACCACGACTCTCCAGACCAGCCTGTACACACCCAGGCACACAAGCAGCGCCAGTATGGAAGCTCCCAAGCCCACTTGAGTCAGCAGCGCCAGAGCGGGTTCTTCCGGAACAGTGTGTGGGGACATGAGGACGGAGAAGGCAGTGAGGTGCTGGCAGAGGCACCGAGCAGTGGGGCTGCCACTGGCTGCCTGTGCCTGGCACCCTTCTTTGGACCAACCCCCCCTGCCCTGGAAGAGGCTGTGATCCCAGAAGACACAGTGAGGGGAACCATCTGTGTTCCCAAAATCCATGATGACCTCGCCCTGGCTGAAGGCCTGGTCGCCTGCCATGATGGAAATGACAAGGACCAGGCCAGGAGTGGCATAGAGGGAATCCCCCAGCCCTTGTCCATAGTTTGAAGGCAGAAGGTGGTCCAGTTTTCGCAACACCAGGCTAGTAATACTTATTTCAGTTCCATTACGGACCAGTGGGGCCAGTGAGTGCCTGGGAATCTGAGCCTGCAGTGGGGGCCGAGTAGGGAAGGAGATGCTGTAGTCAGCAGGAAACGTGGGTCCAAACAGCTGGCTCTGCAGCAGAACATTGGGCAAGCTGAAGGTGAAGGGGTGGTCCTGTGGGCACAGGCTGCATGCCAGGGTCTCCACAGCCAGCAGGAGAGTTGAGCCTGCCCAGGGCTTCCGGGCTTGGGCCAGGGTCCACAGAGACCTGGTGTCCATATCTAGGACCTTGTCTGTGGCAATCAGGAGATTCTGCAGCACCCAACAGAAAGATGAGCCCCGTCTGCTGGTGCCCACAGGACTGAGCCGGGGGCAGTGAGAACTACAGCCCCACACCTTCCCTTCCCAGTCCAGGGTGTGACCCGAGGTTGGAGAGAAAAGGGAGAGGAAGACAGGCCTGTGAAGGGAGACTTTCTAGACGGGAAGAACGGGGAGCTGTTCGGCCAACCACCTTGGGGCATCTTTAAGGATATGTCCCCTGACCTGCACCCAGTCCCTCTGCTGAAAAGCCTTCTTCCCCCTCCATCCCTTGGGGCCACCCAGGTTCTCAGAAGGGACTTCTCCCATTCTTTGGCACCTCCAGGTCTGCAAAGCTAGGAATGGTGACCAGCAGTGTTAGAGGGCACCGTGTCCTGGAGGTGACGGCCACACGCATGTCTGTGCATTCACATATGCTATGTATTCCCAGGCATGAACGGTGCGTAATGTCATTGCCCTTTGTTACACTTTTGGCTGCAGCTCATGGGTCACCAATGGATGCCCATACTGAGAGCCGATGTAGGTGAGCCCGGCAAAGCCAAGCACACTTTAGCGTCTTCATGGAAACTTCCTGTCTGTGTCATAGCCACACGCCTGCTTGCGCACACACGCCTCGGGCCTCCTGTCTCCACACCCTTTCCTGCCTCCAGCCCCCATGTGCTCCCAGCGCCAGGCCTTCTCCATTCTGCAGCCTCAGAGGCTGGTGTCTGAGAGAAGAAATGGACCAGGAGCAGGACCCCGGACTCTGGAAAGGTCTGCTGCCCGACAGCCCATGGTGATGTCAGAGGGACAGAAGTGCCCACAGATGGGGAGTCTTCACCCCCTGACTGCCCAGCTGGCAACCACTGTGGCTCAGAGATCTCACCTTCAGGGCGCTGCGGTCAAGCTGTATTCTGGCCTTTGCCACCGCCTTGGCCAGGTATTTCATGGTGCTCAGCAGGGTCAGTAAGTCGGAGGGTGAACTTGCCTCTGCCGCCTGCCCTGGCAGCTGTGCCAGGATCTGTGGTACTGCCTCAGCAGGACTGCCCTGGCCTGCCTGCAGCAGCTGAGACAGACAAGACAGCAGGAAGCGGGACACGTAGTAGAATGATGGTTTGAGAAGAGCATCGCAGCCCCATGGAGATTGCTGGCCGCCTTGAGCCCTCCCACACCTACTTCCTGGCTCTGCTAGGGCTCCAGTTCAGAGAAGCTGAGCAGCTTGTGGGTTGGGCCTCGGGGAAAAGGGTCTGCAAGCTGGGTCCTAGAGAGGCTGGGGTGGGCTGTGGAGGGGGCATATGGGCAGCAGGGTGGAAGCTTCACCTTGGCTCTAACGAACAAGGCCAGGAGCCTCGCATCTGTGCAGCTGCTGTGGACAGGCCCCCAGACTCCGTCAGCTGCACAAAACCTCCTCACTATGCCCCTCTTGCTCTCAGGACATGGGGCCTGTGCCATGTGGCCAGCCTTGGTGACATTCCAGGTAAGCACTGAGGTGTCCTCAGGGCAGGTGATGTCCCCATCTGAAGAATGACAAGCAGGGGGTACTCAGCAATCACAGCCTCACCGGAGCCTCTTCTTGGGCAGAAGCATGTGCGGGCCCCGAAGCCTGGTCCTGTTGCCCAGGGCAGGGATGCGCCATGCAAGAGAGCCCATGCTCCCAAGGCAAGCAGCTGAGACCCGCCCACTGGACCCCAAGCCCTACGTACCCTGGATGATGGTGATGGAGATGGGGACCCTGAGTGGAGCCAGGCCAGGGCTCTGCAGGTCACAAGTGTACACGGTGTCAGTCATTGGGCAGTGCTGAACAGCCAACACAAAGCACTGAGAGCCTAACTCGTTGAAGGAGGAGGCTGAGGGCAAAACGAAAGAAGGGAACTGTCATTGGGCCAGGGACAGGCCTGGAACCCAGCAGGCTCTGACATGCTGTTTCAGTCTTTCTAGCAATTCAGAAACAGAGGAAGCAGTGGGGAAGAGCCAAATGATGTGTGGGCTCCACTTGGGCAGAGGAAGAGAGCTTGGATTTTGCTGGAGGGGACTGTGGGGTCTCTAACAAGCTCTAGGACTCAGTTTCCACCATTTCCACATTTGTAAAATGGGGACTATCATCAAATGAATTCCATAGAGTTAAATGAGATTGTGTAGATAACAGCATTTTGCAAAAGTTTCCTCTACACATGCAGTTATGTTATGGCAATAGACGTGGCAAGGCTCTGATGGGGTAGAAAACAGTGTGGGCTTTGGACCCCACTCTCTGGTTGAACTGTGGCCTCTGTTTCTCATGAGCTAAAGACTCAGTTGCCTGGAGGAGACTAGCTGCCCCCTGGTCCCTCTGACCCCTGACTGCTGGCCCCTTCTCATACCTTTGCTGCCCTCTCCAGGGCTCCAGGTCGCGGTGTAGGCCAGGTTTGTGCTGGGGATGCAGCAGCTCAGCTGGAAGCCAGGGGAGGTGGCACAGGAGATGGACAGCTGGTCTGGAAGTCGAGCCACATCTGTCGCCTTCAAGGGCACCCTCACCACCTCGTGCAGGTTCCACTTGAAGCCCTGGGCCTCAAAGCAGCTCATGTACTCACCTGCAGACACGTGTCTGCTGCGCTATGTGGCTCCTCTGGGCCCTGCTGCACCACAGAATCGCTGCTACTTTCCAAGCCACAGCCTTGCTCCCGTCCTCTGCCTGCCACCCAGTGCTTAACCCTAGCAAGCAAGGTCCCAGGATGGCCCCTTTGGTGGGTATTCCCTGTCCCCAAGAAGGATTTCTAGGAGGTAGAAGAGATCTCTTTTTTATCAGCCCATGCCCATGAATTTCATGCTCTCCCTAGAGCAGATGCCCTTCCTGCACCACCCCTGCCATTTTAGCATCTTGAAAAACATGGATCTGTTCTCAGCAGACATTGAGACTATATCCTCCACATTCTCCACATTGTAGTATTTTTGTTAACAGAAACATTTTTATGAAAAGTAACTACATTTTCCAAAACATAATTAGACAAGTGATTTTTTTTTTTACATGTTTGCAAATCTCGCCCATGTCTGGGTTCTCCCATCTGCTTTTGCATTCAATCTTATGATGGCCCTGTAACCTCTGGAAAGGGCCACTGTCTACACCCGAGGGAGTGGGAGTGAAAGGGGTAAATGACATCTTAGCATATTAGGACAATAGCTGTGACTTTGTAAACCCTGAAAAGGGTCTCAGAAGTCCCAGACCACAGTGAAAACAGCTGGCCATTTTTAGAATTTTCCACATTGCAATTTTTCACACCAAGGGACCTCTTAGCCTTTGTTTCCCCAGAAGGGGTAAGTGGAAAGATGAAAAGGGTGAGAAAGAAGTGGAAAGAAAAGAAGGAAGGAGGAGGGAGGGAGGCGTGGGAAGAAGAGGTGAAGGAAAGCAGCGAAGGAAGAGGAGGAAGAAGGGAAGTAAGAGGAAGGAGAAAGGAGGCAAGGAGAGGACAGACTGGCTACCTGCCCAGTGATGGGACATGTTGGAGACACTGAGGGCAGCCTGGCCGTGGCTGGAAGTCACAGACACCTGTGTCCCTGGCTGCAGGAGGATGGGACTGGGGCTCCCTGGGTGCCTCAGGAACCAGCTCAGGTCGGTGGCCTCCTGGCTCAGCAGGAGAGTCAGGCTCAGTGTGTCACCAGGCATCTGCAGCTGGGAGTTCAGGCTGAGGGTCCCGGGGACTGCAGGGAGGCAGGTGACAGGGGACCCTGGAGGAGGGACTCATGGCCCTCAGATGCAGCTGAGCAATCGCTCCCCCCGACTCTGGAGCCCATTCCTCCACACTCCCTCCCTAGCTTTTTAAATTTTTCTTTTTGTCCCTGGATGGGCATCTGAATGTGGCTGCTGCAATCCAGCCTGGAAGACTCTATCTGTTATCGGAAACCAAAGAGAGAACCTTTTTGGTCTATGCCTCTCCCTCCTCCAGGCATCTTGGGGCTGCTGGAACTGCTTCCTGCCTCCTAGGGTAAAAAGCAGGGTTACTCCAGCACGTTCTCTCCCTGTCCTTATGTCTCTGGGGCCCCCCTCATTAGTCTCCCTACTCAGGTTCCAAGCTCAGGGCCTGTGATCTGCTGTGATGGCTGGCTTTTTCTCCCACCCAGAGGAGCAGCTGTGCTTGGACCAGCTGGCCAAACTACAGGTTCAGAGAGGAAAAACACACTGAGAGCATTCATTTCACTTAAGGTCATTGGTTTCCAAGTTCCCAACCTTCCTCACCAGGTGGCAGCAACTGGCAGTACCCGGGTTCAGGATGGCTGAAGACAAGGCAGCCACAAGGCTGCTGGTTCTGGGGGCTTTGACAAGGAGGGTAATGGAGGCAGATGCTGGTGTTCCACTGGTAGCCAGAGAGGCAAGCACAATAGAAATTCCCCTCGTGGTTGACATTACACTCTGTGACAGAGAGAAGGGAAGAGGGGCTGGACATGCTGTCTGAAGAAGCTAGGTGGGCAGGGTGAACACCTGCCTGATGCCTGAGAGGCTTTAGGGCTGGGTATCTGGACCAATCTCCAAGCTACAGGTGCCTCAGTCAGGCACATGCATCAGGACTGCCTCCTCAGTCAGCGCTTGAAGCAGCAGATGTCTCAGGGGCCAGGGAACAGGTGAAGGTGGAGGTCTGTGCCCACATTGTCTGTCCCTTGGGCCATCAGTCAAAGTTAGAAGATAGGGGATGGGGCAGGCAGGGAAGGGTCTGTCTGGTAGGGAGGGGAGGAAGGAGCTGGGCCAAGAGACAGAACCAGGCAGCCCTTCCTCTAGGAAATATAGAGGGACTCACAGCATCTCAGGCAAGCTGGCTGCAGGAGGCCCCGGAGCCCCTGTTCATTCGCTCTCAGCCCCCTTCCCATGCAAGTGGTACCTGTTGTGAGTCTGAGGCCAGTGAGAAGAGGCCTTGGGGAAGAGGAAGCTGAGGCAGCCGGGAGAGTCAGGGTCCTGGAGACTTCATGGGGCCAGGTCTTATCTGAAAAGTCCAGACGTACATAGACGGAGACCAGCGCTGATTCTACAGGAGCAGAGGGGACAGCTGGAGAGGACAGGCAGCGAGGCCACAAGCTGGTCCCCTCTGGAGTCTCTCATCTAGCTGGCCAGTCCCAGGAATGCAGAGCCAACCCCCTCCCACAGGCTGTCCAGGTGCATATACAGGGCTCAGGAAGGGAACAAGTCTTCCCCTAGGCACAGTGGCTTCAGATACATAGCTTCACGTCATCCATCCAGCAACACCTATTTTATGGATGAGGCTCCAAAGACAATGAGTTCATCTCCAGGCCTCGCTGCTAGAGAACTGGTCAACGACCTGTCCGACTGTGATCAGAGCCAGTCCTCTCTCTCCGCCACCACTCCCTCGCTGCGCCTGCCCTCTCCTCTCCGGGTCCTGGGTTTCCACCTCATTCCCAGCCCCTATCTCCTCCCCCTCCCTCCTCCTCTTGTCCATTCACTCACCTCCTGCTCCATTCTGTTGGTCCAGGAGCTGCCCAGATCCAGATTCCCCTCCAGCCTGACTCTGTCCCTGGAATAGAACACAGAGGAGAGACCTCAAGTCCCTTCCAAAGGCACCCCAGGGGCCAGCCCGACTAGTCTCAGCCAGCACAACTCAGTCTCAACCAGCTCTTCTTTTTGCCAGGAATCAAGGGTACACATCAGGAAGGGAAAGCAGGCTTCTCTTAGTGGGTGCCAGGGATGCAACCCCAGGAACCCTGCTATCCCACCCAAGACCAGGAACCAGGAACGCCCTGGGAAGTCAACATGCTTTGTTTAATTCCTTCCTGCATTTACCTGTCCCTGGGCCTCTAGGCTAATTGAAATGGCTGGGTCTGGAGCTCCAGCAGTGGAGCTGGACAGAGTTGGCTGGGGCCCAGGCGCTTGGGGAGTTTATTCCTTCTGTAGGATTTGACAGCAGGGTGAGAAGAAGGCAGCCTCTTTCCTTTGTCTTTGGTTCCTGTACATTATTTCCTCACCAACTCCTCCTCTGACAGGGTGACGGTGGAGGTCTGGACCCACATTGTCTGTCCCTTGGGCCATCGGCCAAAGCTAGAGGATAGGGGGATGGGGCAGGCAGGGAAGGGTCTGTCTGGTAGGGAGGTGAGGAAGGAGCTGGGCCAAGGAGACAGAACCAGGCAGCCCTTCCTCCAGGAAATATGGAGGGGCTCACAGTGTCACAGACCTGAGCCCTGTCTATATGCACCTGCGTGTGCGTGTGGGTATCCACCCAAAACCAGATTTTGATACAGATACGAATATGGATAAGACATGAGTATAAGCTGGTCACAATGGCACGTGCCTTCAGTCCCAGCTACTTGGGAGGCTGAGGTGGGAGGATCACTTGAGCCCAGGAGTTCAAGTCCAGCCTGGGCAACATGGTGAGAGCATGTCTTAAAAAAGGTATAGATATAGATAGATTTAGATACAGATACAGATATATATTTACATAAAGACAGATTTAGATTTAGCAATACAGATAGATTTAGGCTTAGTGGTATATAGATGTAGACACAGGCATAGATATAGCTGTCTGTGAGAACACAGATGGAAAAGCACCCTCTAGACTCTGATGTCTTTCCTCAGATTCTCTCCCATCCTCTAAGCCAGTAGTTCCCAAATCTGCAAAGTTTTTCTTTTTCTTTTTAAATGGCCAGCTTGACTGGACGAGCCTTTATCCAAAGTACAGCAGGTATCATAGGAGTTTACAGGGACTCAAATAAGGAAACAAGAGCTATCCCCCACACCCAGGAAAATAAAATTGAGTTCTCAGAGATCTCATAACAAAGCATCCACTTTCCTTACGCATTACTTCTTCTCCCCTCAGTCCTTTCCCCACTACCTATCCTTTCATTCCACGCCTGGTCTCTCCCAACCAGAGGTCCCCATTGTCGCCTCTGCAGGCCTTCCCTGGGTCTCACCCCGGTTTCACTTACAGGTTGGGATGCTTGGGCAACTGGTGACCCCAGCAGGGGAAGAGTTGTGGCCAGGAGCAGCAGAGGGGCAGCCGAACAGACCATGGCTCAGTGAAGCAGTCCCTACAAGCCCATGATGCAAATTTCTGCAAGGAAGAGCTGGCAGGGCAGTATGCAGATGGGATGGGAGGGAAGAGGGGAGGGAGCCAGGGCTGAACTTACAGAGGAAGCGCTACAGCCTGTGACTCTGAGTCAAATGGGAATCCAGGTCGCCGTGGGGGCCACCTGGAGCCCACATGCCCCCAGTGAGAATGGTGCCGAGGCTCCTCTTGGGCTCTGGACCAAAAGCTCAGAGTCTTAGGGTTTTGAAGTCACAACCAGCAACGTGTCAATAAGCCAGGTTCGGTCATGTTCCCAAGGACCTGGGAAATCTGGATTGTTCTGAACTCCTCAAAAGCTGGATCATTGATCAAAGAGTCAAGGTTAGAAATGAAAAACAAAGAAAAGATAAAAATATGAGAGCTGATTTTTACGCTAAAATAATTTCCAGATAGACTAGAATCCTCCCTCCCTCCCTTCCTTCCTTGTCTGTCCCTTGGGCTATCTGCCAAAGCTAGAAGATAGGGGGTTGGGGCAGGCAGGGAAGGACTGGTCATGGACCTGTCCGACTGTGATCAGAGCAGGGGGTGAGTGGGTGGACAGGAGGAGGAGGGAGGGGGAGGAGATGGGAGCTGGGAATGAGGTGGAAACCCAGGACCCGGAGAGGAGAGGGCAGGCGCAGCGAGGGAGTGGTGGCTGAGAGGACTGGCTCTGATCACAGTCGGACAGGTCCGTGACCAGTCTGTCTGTCCCTCCCTCCCTCCCTCCCTCCCTCCCTTCCTCCCTCCCTCCCTTCCTTCCTTCCCTCCCTTCTTTCTTCTCTCTCTCCCTCCCTCCCTCCATCCATCCCTCTCTCTCTCTTCCTTCTTTCTTTCCCTCCCTCCTTTCTTTTCTTTCTCTCTTTTTTCTTTCTTTTTCTTTCTTTCCTTTCTTTCTTTCTCTCTCTTTTTCTTTTCTTTCTTTCTTTCCTTGCTCTTTCCTTCCTTCCTTTCTCTCTCTCTTTCCTTCTTTCTCTCTCTTGCTCGCTGTCACTCTCACTCTTTTTCTTTCTTTTATAAACAAGGCCTTCTTCTGTTGCCCAGGCTAGAGTGCAGTAGTATGATCAAAGCTCATGATCATAGCTCACCATAGCCTCAAACTCTTGGGCTCAAGCTATCCTCCCACGGTAACCTCCCAAGTAGTTGAGATTACATGTGTGCACCACTGCACTGGCCTAGAGCCTTAAATGTAAAAAAGAATTTGAGAAAATACTAGAAAACATTATCAAGTTATTTCATAAAATAATTTTAAACAGAGGAAGGTTTTTTAAACAATACATAAAACTGAGAAGTCAAAAAGGAAATAAATGTGACTGTCTAAAAACTTTTAAGTTTGGCCTAAAAAGAATAATTTTCTCAACAAAGGAACTTTCTTCTAGTTTTCGTATCCATAAGATAGAAATAGGCAAAAGATAGGAACAGACAATTCACTGAAGAAGGAATAGAAATAGTTTGATAATGGCCAGGCAGGGTGGCTCATACCTATAATCCCAGCCCTTTGGGAGGCCGAGGTGAGTGGATCACCTGAGGTCAGGAGTTCGAGACCAGCCTGCCCAACATGGTGAAACCCTGTCTCAACTAAAAATACAAAATCAGCCAGGCTTGGTGGCGCATGCCTGTAATCCCTGCTACTTAGGAGGCTGAAGCAGGAGAATTGCTTGAACCTGTGAGAAGGAGGTTGCAGTGAGCTAAAATTGCACCATTGCACTCCAACCTGGGCAACAAGAGTGAAACTCCATCTCAAAAAAATAAAAATAAAAAAGAAGCAGTTTGATAAACATATACAAACCTCTAACTTCACGCATCAGAAATACAAATCAAACAAGATACTATTTCTCACCTGCTAATTATCAAAAGAGAAAATATTAATTATATTAAGTATAGTTGTACATGTGTGTAAAAACATGTACATAAGAATATTCAAGGCAGAATTGTTTGTGACAGCAAATGAGTTGATTAAACAACCAAAATGTCTATTAAAAAGGGAGAGCTTATATAAATCTTGGGATTTCCAAACAATACATTACTAAAGTTGTGTGGGAAAAGTGAAGTAGCTGTATTTTGGAGTGATCTCCAATATAGTTAGTGAAGTTTAAATATGTGTTATGTGTATTATGGTCCCATGTATGTAAACAAAATGAATCTATTTAAGATGCTTGTACTTGTATATCCCTAGAATATTTCTGGAAGAATACATCAGAAATCTGGCAATAGTTGTTGCTTCTGGGGAAAGGGATTAAGGGTCTGGATGGGTCTGTGTGCTGTTTCATATATAGTTTTTCTAATCATAGGCTTTTTTTTTTTTAATAAAAAAAAGTTGATTTAAACACACAAAGTACGAAGTACCTATGGTAGAAATATAGCCCCATTGCATTTCCACCTCCAATCCCCCCTTGCCAGTTTTGTTGCTAATGGAAGAGCAGACACACAGAGCAAATACATGCATGGGAGCAATCACTCTTGTAAGCAATCACTCTTGTAAATAGCAGATTTCAGAAAACATGAAAATGGTGGAGAATCTGGTTTGAGAACCAGAGAGAGAAGTGAGAGGGAAAACACAGGTGCTGGAGGTAGGATGCTATTAGCATGCTGGGTGCTGTCTGTTGCAGCTATAGGCAGTCTCAGATGGGCCAAGAGGATATGGGACATCAACAGCATCTGCAGCAGTTCCCAAATGGAGTCTGTCAAGGCATGAAGTGGTCCTGGACCATGCTCAACAGGGTCTGTTGAGGACCAGGAACTACACAAGTGAGAGGTGGACTGAGACCCAGAAGAGTGGCTGCTTCAGTGCCGAGGGGAGACTGAGCCATGGCAGCCCCCAGTTAGGAGAGGCAAGGACAGCCTCCAGTGGAGGGAAAGCTGTTCATCCATCAGCATGAACACTGAAGGAACAAGTAACTCCGGGGACATGAGAAAGCTAACAGAGGCCGGGTATGGCGGCTCACACCTGTAATCCCAGCACTTTGGGAGGCCGAGACAGGCGGATCACCTGAGGTCAGGAGTTCAGGACCAGCCTGGCCAACATGGTGAAAACCTGTCTCTACTAAAAATACAAAAAAACTAGCCAGGGGTGGTGGTGGGCACCTGTAATCCCAGCTACTCGGGAGACTGAGGCATGAGAATTGCTTGAACCCAGGAGGTGGAGGTTGCAGTGAGCCGAGATGGCACTACTGCACTCCAGCCTGGGCAACAGAGTGAGACACCCTCTCTCTCTCTCTCTCTCTAATATTATTATATATATAATATAAATGTATATAAAAATAAAAATAAAATATGTATATATATAAATCTTAGTCTTATGGACTGATCAGTTTCATGGGGAGTCAGGAAGCACCCACAGGCTGAATCAAGTCTTAGGCAGAGTGGAGTTCAAACCAACAGGGACTTATTGCTGCCACCTATGTACTCCCAAGTCCAAAGTGAACCACAAGGTGATTGTCCTTTGTCCCTCCAATATACATACTGATTTTTGGAAACTAATCAGTTTTTAACTGCTGGCAGCTTTTCTGAGCTCCTAGGTTGCTTCCTGGACACCTCTAAACACGGATTGTGAAGGCTGCTGGTAAGCAGTGCTCCCTTACTTAATTTTTATTTTTTAAAGACAGGGTCCCGTTATGTTGTTCAGGCTGGCCTCAAAGTCCTGGACCAAAGTGATTCTCTCACCTCAGCCTGCCCAAGTAGTTGGGATTACAGGCGTGAGCCACCACTGGACCTGGCCTCCAATTTTTTTTTTTTTTTTTTTTTTTTGAGATGGAGTCTCACTCTGTCGCCCAGGCTGGAGTACAGTGGCGCGATCTCGGCTCACTGCAAGCTCCGTCTCCCGGCTTCACGCCATTCTCCTGCCTCAGCCTCCTGAGTAGCTGGGACTACAGGCACCCGCCACCGCGCCTGGCTAATTTTTTGTATTTTTTAATAGAGACGGAGTTTCACCGTGGTCTCGATCTCCTGACCTTGTGATCTGCCCGCCTCAGCCTCCCAAAGTGCTGAGATTACAGGCGTGAGCCACCGCGCCCGGCCTTTTTTTTTTTTTTTTTGAGAGAGAGTCTCACTCTGTTGCCCAGGGTGGAGTACAATGGTACAATCTTGGCTCACTACAACCTCCACCTCCCAGGTTTAAGTGATTCTCCTGCCTCAGCCTCCCAAGTAGCTGGGATTACGGGCGCCCATCACCACACTGGGATAATTTTATATTTTTAGTAGAGATAGAGTTTCACCATGTTGGCCAGGCGGGTCTCAAACTCCTGGCCTCAAGAGATCCACCTGCCTTGGCCTCCCAAAGTGCTAGGATTCAGGCATGAGTCACTGCGCCCGGCCTCCATTACTTCTTATAGAAAGTAATTGCTGGGGCCAGGTGTGGTGACTCGTGCCTGTAATCCTGGCACTTTGGGAGGCTGAGGCAGGTGGATTGCTTAAGGTCCAGGAGTTCAAGGCCAGCCTGGGCAACATGACAAAACCTCAATATGGCAAAACTTCATCTCTACAAAAAATTAGCTGAGTGTGGTGGCACATGCTTGTAGTCCCAGCTACATGGGAGGCTGAGGTGGGACGATCACCTGAACCCAGAAGGTCAAAGCCATAGTGAGCTGTGATTGTGCCACTGCGCTCCAGCCTGGGCAACAGAGTCAGACCCTGTATCAAAAAAAAAAAAAAAAAAAAAAAAAAAAAAAGAGAGAAAGTAACTGCTGGGGTTGCTGCATATTAGTTACCTGTATGAACTAGACATTGAATCTTGGTGTATTTTTTCTAACTTTTAGGTTCTGGGGTACAAGCGCAGGTTTGTTACACAGGTAAACTTGAGTCATGGGGGTTGGTTGTACAGATTATTTCACCACCCAGGTATTAAGCCGAGTACCCATTTAGTTATTTTCCTGATCCTCTCCCTCCACCCTCTGAAAGGCCCCAGTGTGTGTTGTTCCCCTCTATGGTCCATGTGTTTTCATCATTTCGCTCCCACTTACAAGTGAAAATATGTGGTATTTGGTTTTCTGTTCCTGTGTTAGTTTGCTAAGGATAATGGCCTC